ATGCCTGTTTTTATGTTAATTGCTGTGTGGGTGAAAGAAATAAAACATTTTCATGGAGTCAGGGAATAGATGTACATGGGTCATGGGGAAGGTGAACAGGTCACAAGTGAAAGTTATTATTAGACTGGATTGCTTCTTGGCCAGCCCAAAGCCCCCATGTATCTGCTAATGTAATGCAAAGCCTTTGCTGTTCCTGAGTTAGGGACCTTAGGTGAGAAGCAGGAGGCCTGAGAAAGGTGGCGTCCATGCATGCTTTGTAGTTCAAGGTGGAAAGTGGGATAAGTTTGTGCCTGTTGAGGATTATAAAGACGACTTCAAGAGGAGTTTGGCTTTTGGGGGCCTCTCTCTGGAATAAGGCTATGCTTTGTTGATGGTGGTCAGATTGTGGGTATCTCCCCTACTCCCAGTGGCTCCTGACACTATCAACAATCATGTGAAGACTTGTCGGGAAGAGCAGAAGAATCTGCACTTCTTTGCACCAGAGTATGGAGGTGAGGCACGCTTACTTCTCTGCCCTTCCTCGTGCCCTGGTTTTGTACTGTATAACCTGAGGTACGGAGGTACTGTACAACTCACAGTCCTAGTCCTCTTCTGCCATCCCTTCTACCCAATTTTTTCCTCACTAAGCCCTCTGTTCTCCCTAGAAGTCACTAATGTGACAACAGCAGTGGATATCTACTCCTTTGGCATGTGTGCACTGGAGGTGAGAAGACTAGAAGTGGGAAAGAGGGGTGATATTAGAGGGGGAGGGGAAAGGAGAAATGGAAGGAGGACGAGGAAAGGAACACGATGGGAGTGACTGGGAGCTGCAGGGTTCCTAGGTCTCTCATTTTCCTTTGGGTCCCGCTTCACTACAGATGGCAGTGCTAGAGATTCAGGGCAATGGAGAGTCCTCGTATGTGCCACAGGAAGCCATCAGCAGTGCCATCCAGCTTCTAGAAGATTCATTACAGAGGGTAAGGGTCTTCAGGGTTGCTCCTTCCTTCCTTAATTGACTTTCAAATATCTTCAGGTTTTTCTTCACTGGGAATTTGCTCTCTTCTAAGAGCAAGAGAACATAAAGGAGAAGAGGAAAGACAAAGTTGCAGGGTGGGTGTAGTGGCCCACACTTGTAATCTCAGCTACTCAGTATATTGAGGCAGAAAGATCACAAGTTGGAGGCTAGCTTGTGTAATTTAGGGAGATACTGTCTCAGAATGAAAAATGAAAAGGACTGCGGATGTGGTTCAGTGGTAGAGTACTTGCCTAGCATATGTGAGCAATCTCCAGTACCACCAGAAAAAAACCAAAAAAACCAAAAAAACTTTCCCTTGGGGTGCCTACCGTGCTTTTGTATATATATTATGTTGGGGGGGTCAGGGCCATGTGTTAATCGAAGTGTGTTTACACAGAGATAAATTAATTTAATGTTTACTGCAGACAGTTCATATATACTCTTAGACAAGCATCTTGACATCCTAAATCAGGGATGGCAAACCTTTTAGAGCTTTCAGTGATCACAAACAGCCCACTGTGGCACATGTGCTATAGGTCCACCACCACTCTAAAATCGAATCAGGCATTTGGGATTTTAGAATTATATAGTTAGGGAAGGTTCTAATGAGCTAAGATTTAAAGAATCTGAGGATTATTATCAATAGATTACAGTTAAGAATCTGAACAGGAAGGTCCAAATATGAAGAGTTTGTAGCTCGTTCGAGAAGCATAATGGGGAGCAGGATGAAGAGTAGTGGAAGTCTCGAGGACAGTGTGGAGTAAGTTTCCTGTTCACATTAGGAAGGCATACTTACTCAAGTGATCTTGAGGTGTGTGTTATTAGGTATGTGATCTTGTTGGCCTTGCAGATGGAAAGAAAGCACTGGATCCTAAAAGGTAGACTAGGAAGCAGAATGGCTAGAGGCACAATGGGAAATCCAGTGAATCCAGTGGTTGTAGAGGACAAATATTATGTTAGGCTTGCCCCTCGCAAAAAAGTATACATTGGTTAAGTTTGAGAAGGGAGAAACTAAATTTGATGAGGATTGTAGAAGAAAAGTAGGCAGTGAGTGGGCTAATAAACATTAAAGAATAAAAGACAGGTTATGGTTGAAAAGCAGAGAAATAATAAAAACCAGATAGTCATATCTTTATGTTTTCCAAGACCTTTCAAGTACCTTTCTCATCGTGTTTCTTTAGCAATTGCTAAGCAGCTGTGTGTACCAAGCCTGGTGCTAAGTGCGGGATGAACATAGGGGCCTGTTAGGTGCCCATTCCCATGCCTTCTCCTCTCTAGGAGTTCATTCAGAAGTGCCTGCAGCCTGAGCCTGCTCGAAGACCAACAGCCAGAGAACTTCTGTTCCACCCCGCACTGTTTGAAGTGCCCTCGCTTAAACTCCTTGCTGCTCATTGTATCGTGGGACACCAACGTGAGTGCCCTTAACCCTACTAGGAATCTTCTCACAACCTGGAGCCTTGTAACTCACTGCAAGGCTCCTTCCCCTCCTACCCTCCTACTTTCAAAGGAATTCTTTGGGTTTTTTTTTTGGTACTAGGGTACTAACTCGGGACCTTGTGCTTGTGAGGCAGATTGGGGTACCACTGAGCTAAATCCCCGGCCCTCAAGGGGATTCTTTACCCCTGTGCCACCAAGCTTTTGGTGACCCTGCCCTAAACCTTCCTAACATTCCACTCCATCATGCCCTCCAGACATGATCCCAGAGAATGCTCTGGAGGAAATCACCAAAAACATGGATACTAGTGCTGTACTGGCTGAAATCCCTGCCGGACCAGGAAGAGAACCAGTTCAGACTTTGTGAGTAACCAAACTGAGGGGGTCTAAAGGGGACAGATTGACAGATTGGCTGACACCATCACCCCAGGGCTCTGTAAACTGCCCCTTATCTGGGAAAGGTTGAATCTGCCATTTTGTTATTTCCTTCTTTCTGTCATCTTTCCTTTCTTCTCCAGGTACTCCCAGTCACCGGCTCTGGAATTAGACAAATTCCTTGAAGATGTCAGGTGAGAGAAGCCTGGGAAGGCAGGCTTTCTTTAGGAAGCAGGAGCAGGTGTCCTGAGGCATTCACAGAGCCCATGTGACCTGTCTCCATTTCCCTCCAGGAATGGGATTTACCCCCTGACAGCCTTTGGCCTGCCGCGGCCCCAGCAGCCACAGCAGGAGGAGGTGACATCACCGGTTGTGCCCCCTTCTGTCAAGACCCCAACACCTGAGCCAGCTGAGGTGGAAACCCGCAAGGTGGGGGCTGAGTGTGAATGTGTCTGTGTCATGGGAGAAGGGACATATTAAGTAAGGCTTTGTCCTTTAGAGGAAAGAGTGCACTTCTCCTTACCGCAGTGTCCTGTGGGCTGGACGGGCTTCCACATGGGGGGATCTTACGCTGGTGACCACCCTCCCTGTCCTGTCTAGGTGGTGCTGATGCAGTGCAACATCGAGTCGGTAGAGGAAGGAGTCAAACACCACGTAAGGCTCAGGGCCCGGCTGCACAGGGCTGGGTGGCCAGAGCACAGGGAAGAGGAGCCTTATTCTGCCTGTCTTCTTTTCTAGCTAACGCTTCTGCTGAAGCTGGAGGACAAACTGAACCGGCACCTGAGCTGTGACTTGATGCCGAGTGAGTCTCCCCTTTCCCTCAGATGGTGGGTCCGTGAGCCTCTGGGGGCCGTATTGGGGGTGTGGAGAGGAAGAGACAAGGCAGTAGTAGCACAGCAGACCTACCCATGAGGTGGGTGTTTGGCCACAGCACTTTGAGGGGCTCCCTGTCCTGCCTCCTGCCTTGTACTCACCCTGCTTCTCTCACAGATGAGAATATCCCTGAGTTGGCAGCAGAGCTGGTGCAGCTGGGCTTCATAAACGAGGTGAGCTTCCTGCCTTCCGTTGCCCTGGCTGCCGCCCTCCCTCTGTTCTCTCAGCTCCTGTCTCACTGGACTTCTCTTGCAGGCTGACCAGAGCCGGCTCACTTCCCTGCTGGAGGAGACCCTGAACAAGTTCAATTTTGCTAGGAACAGTACCCTCAACTCGGCCGCTGTCACCGTCTCCTCTTAGAGTTCACTTGTCCGAGCTGTGGCTGTCCCTGGATGTGCTGCGGCCCTCTGCCCCTTACCCCAGTCAGTATTACCCTGTGAAGCCCCTTCTCTCCTTTATTATTCAGGAGGGCTCTGGGGTTCCCTGTCTGAGCATCTTCCTGCCCCTTCCCTCTCTTCCTCCCCTCTGCACTTTGTTTACTTGTTTTGCACAGACATGGGCCTGGGCCTTCTCAGCAGCCGCCTTCTAGCTGGTGGGGGCTAGTAGCTGACCTTGGGGCTCCCGCCCAGCCTGTGTGGACAGGAGGCCCGTGGGCATTCCGGGAGCCAATGCTACAATCCCGCTGGGGTAGACGGGCGGGAGAGAAAGGTGGTGCTGCAGTGGTGGCCCTGGGTGGCCATTCGATTCGCCTCAGTTGCTGCTGTAATAAAGTCTACTTTTTGCTAAAAGCGTCGTGTGCGTGTGCGTGTGCGTGTCTAGGGTGGGGGCGGGGCGGCCGGGCCCGG